ATATATTCTATTCACTACTAAAGAGATTTTTTTTTATTTTCATTTTCATAAAAAAACATATATATATATATATAAGTGTAAATCGGGTAAATAAATGTATCGAATTTCAAATAAAAGATTTCTGCACAGTAAAATCGGTTCAAAACACTATTTTTTTTTTTTACATACATACGAATATAAATTGTGATATATTAATTTTTTCATAGTGATTTTGGGACGTAAGGGTGATATTTTTTTAGATTGATTTTTTCACTTTCAAGTCATCGGCGAGTATTGAGCTCGCCCTAGACCCGCCGACACTGGCGTGGTGGTCGTTTCGTCTCTCCATCCCCGTAAGTGGTCCCGCTCTTGTCACGGAGCGCCATGGCAGTAGGAACTCGAAGGTGAAGGTTGCTACGTGGTGCCCGACGGTCGCTGCGGGCATCCATGGGCGTTTGTGGTGGTAAACCAGTCTTGCACCCCTCCTTTTCCGGCCTCCCCTGGTGTTCGGGTGGTCGGAACATTCGACGGCAGTGGCGGTTCGTGTGCTGGCCTTGGAGTTTGCGTGGTGGGGACCGTGGCAGTGGTTTGGCCTGGGCGAGTTTGCGAGCTTCGGAGGCGGTCTTTCTAGATTTATGGTTCCTTTGGGCTGTGGTTGCTGGAGCTTCTTCCGATTGTTACGCTTTTCGGTGTTGGCTTGGTCGTGCGGGTGATGGGGCTGAAGTCCGGTGGGGAGGGCTTTTTTATATCTAGTATTTGTTGTTTTTTGGTTTTATGTATTGTGTGGTGTTGGTTAGTGTTTTTGTTTCGTGTTGTTTTTGGTCCTCCCGGTTGGGAGCTTCTCTCCTTGTGAGAGTTTTTCCTTCTCTCCTTGTGGGAGGTTTGTTAGTGTCTTGTGTTTGTCTGTGGTTGGTACGTAGGATTTAGACTACACTATGTGTAGCTCTCCCACTTAAATTCAGCTAGTTAGCTGGTTTCTCAGCAAACTTGCTGTTTCTAGTTTGTATTTGTGTGTTTCTATCTATATATCCTATCATTTGA